TTTCAATTGGATCAATTTAATTATAAAAATTTTCACATTCATACCAATTGAGTTTATCTGGCTAATTTTGTTTGGAAATCGCCGATATGAATGCCGATTATCCTATGTGGCATGGCTGACACTAATATGGATAGTTTTACAATTTAAAAAAAAATCTGAATTTTTTAATTATTTTTTTTGTTCTTTTTTTGCATTGTGGCTGCCCATTGGGTGAGGGCCTACGAGCCCTTGTCGGCCATTGGCAAGGGTCGCGGCCCTCTGCGAGGCCATCACCTGCTGAGGAAAGGGCCCCCAAGCCCTCGCCATATCCAGCGAGGGCAGCCCTTGCCAGAGGCCGCAAGGGCGAGGGCTGCCCTCTTTTGCCCAAAAGATCATGTCTAATCCACAATAAAGCAAGCACCTCCTCTCCTCTCGCACTGCTATCATCGTGTCTCTATCACTGTCGAGAACTTCACCACCACACTCATGGAGGAGAGATAGGCAGCGCCGAAAAAAGTAGGGCTAACAATTCGTACCAAGTCGTGTTAAAATTACGACACGATCGATACGATTATCAAACATGTCACCTTATCAAGTGTCGACACGCGACATGATGCAATACATTAACTTGTTTATAAATATTTATTAGCTCGTATGCACGATAAACATGTTAATTTAGTTGCCAAAGGCGGCGTGACCAAGACGAGTCGACATCCCACTATGTGTGATAGTCGTGATGGCTAGGGCAAAGAGAAGAAAGAGAGTCTTAGTAAAGTTAGGGTAAAGGTTTCTTCTTTGTGACATCAACCTAGACCCTCAACTCTATCGACCTCCAACGTGTTTATCTTTTAGAATGATAAATTCACATCTTAAACTTACCCCCCTCAAATTTGTAAGGTCCCTTATCCTGCGTGTCGTTATCTGTTCCATTTTCCCTCTCTCCGTTCGTTTGGCGGAAAATATTCTCATTTTGGAAAATATTTTTCCGGAAGTCATTTTCCTGAAAAATATTTTCCCGGAACATAATTTTCCGGTGTTCGGCGACCAATATGAAAAAGTTTCGGAAAATATTTTTCACCGACGGCGGCGGCGACGCGACCGGGTACGGGCAAGGGGCGGCCGGCAACCGTGCGGTGGCGGTGGCAAGCCAGGGCGGCGGCCGGCGACCGCCTCGGGCGGCGGCGGCGACCGGCGGCGGCGGGGCGGCCGGGCGATCGGGGCAGCGGGCTGGCCACCGTGGCGGCGGGCGGCCAACGGTGGTGACCGGCGGCCAACGGTGGTGACCGGCGATCAACTTCCTCTCCCACGGAAAATATTTTCCCTCCCATGGGCAATTTTGCCTTCAATTTGGGGGAAAATGATTTCCTCTTTGTGAAAAGAGGAAATCATTTTCCTCAAAACAATGAAGGATTTGGGGGTGGGGAAGGAAAATGTTTTCCCACCGCCCCCGAACACCGGAAAACGCGGAAAATATTTTCCGGAAAAATATTTTCCGCAAACGAACACAGCCTAGTCTGATCTTTGGAAGTGCACGACACGTGTAAGCCAATAAGCCTGTTCGCGGTGTCAATTTTGACCACGAATGGGATGATCACTTGCCATGTCGGTGACTCACTCCACACAAGAGTCCTGCGTGGCTAGTCCTGCGTCCTCTTTCGCCTCACGAAGAGGAAGCAATGAGCAAGCAATGAGAAGAATATGAACGACTGACTGCCCCGTCTTGACTCTTTCACGTGGAGAGGGCAAATGGCTTTGCCCTTCGAATCAGCTGCCACACCCTAAAGGCTATGGTGTCCCCAGTCTCACCCTGCGCAACCAGCAGATGGAATCTACTGGCCCTAATGGAACACAACTGATCTTTTTATTCCTCTGCATGTGGAGGGTTTCGTCCCATGAAACTAAGAGAAACGAGTGGTGGAAGCATTTAATAGTTGCTGTCACACATGATGGGATAAGCGTTGTTGTTATATCATCATCATCATTATCATTATTTTATCAGCAAGAGTTTCAGTTTGAATCGGCGTCCTAGAATTCTGCATGGATTGGTACCTTTGCGAGAATCCAAGAAGATTAAAATTGGGGTCTTGATTAAACAAACGATTAGGGTTAGCATCATTCAACATGGGTCCGGACAGAGGTTGTGTTTTTTGGGGTCTATAGAAGTTCGAGTTCGAGTCAGTTGAGAGGGTTGTAGAACAAGCCCTGCCTTGATTTCTTAATGGGTGATCACCGTACAATACAGTTGGCCTCATTTAGACGCTAGATTAGGATTAGCCCCTACACTTATAAACTAATTAAGCCCTTCATCATTGGAGGTTTCTAGGGGTTGTTTTAGTAATAGTAACGTTAATTGCAGTCCAACAAGGAATACAAATCATATTGCGAGTGGAGAGCTGCAATGATTTTCGCGCTTAACAAAGAAAGAATGAAATATCTTTATATGGATTAGTTGTTCGGTACACATCCCCTTTTTTTTATAATTCAAGAGGGAAAATTGTAATTAGCTGGTTATCTAAAAGAAAATCGGTAAAGTAAACTACCGCTATAACCACTAACTAAAATTTGAGTTCCCTGAAGCGGGAATCAAAACCGCAACTCCTGATTTCTAAGCCAAAAGTACAAAAACGCCCCTATCACTTGATCGATCCATCGATCTTTATTCTCTTTATTATTCATGGAGTTTAATGAACGCCCCAAGGATCTTGGCCTCTCTTGTAAGTTCCCCTCTTGGCACGAGCATGTCCATTAGGGAAAGAACGTGACTTTGGTCGCATGCCCCGAACGGAGAAATTACTAGAAATTGAAATCCAAGTGTCACTTTAGGGACTAAAATCCATTCAAATAGTAAGTGCTGTCGCCTATAATCTCATTGCTTTTGTACAGAAGCCACTTTAGTCTCGTCAGCATGTCGGACTCAGTCAAATCCTCCAAAATGTTGCTTCGAGTGTTCTTAGTCAATAGCTCCTTTACGGAACCTTAATTTAATCGACATGGCAACGAGTGGGATTAACTTTTTATTAGCTTGACGATATTAAACCCGACACAAGCTGTTATATTTATTAATAGGTAGCTTTGAGAGTTCTCTTTTCTTCTTCTTTTCTTCATCTCGGTACTACGTGCAGCTTTCAATTTTTCGGTCTTGATAGTAACTTTGGCTTAAAAGATGACTCCTTTCTTTGGATTAATATAATTTATAAAGGTCACGTAAATTTCTTTTCACGCATGCCACGTTTCTCAATGCTGATATGGGTAGTTTTATCTTTAGCAAGTAACTAATTACTCGTAGTGACGACAATGAATTCGGGATGAGGTAGAAAAAGAGTTACATCGGATGTGCATCCAATATTAATCTTCGTATTTTCTTCGGTGAAGAACGATGAATCCCTTATTCGTTACACAAAAGGTGCAAGTAACAAAACATGTAAAATCTCGAGAGGAGAACCGATGCAAGAGGGACCAAGGAATTTGCAGATCCGAATAGGTTGAATACTCATTGTAGGAATAAAAAGAATCGGAGTATCATTCCAATTGACTCACGTTTTTTTCAGATGCATAAGGTTAGTGAGATATTACCGGAAACTTAGATTTACCGGCTTTACGTACTTGAGGTTGGCCTTCTTGCATATAAAGAAATCAACTATAACTATTTGGGCAATCGAAAAAGGTATACACACACAATTAGGAGGAGTGACAAGATAATCATTTTGATTGTAGCTAGACTTAAACAAATTCATTTTGTCAAACACTTCAAGAAAATCTCAAAGTTGATACTTTGCACCAGATATGGAACACTTTACCCTCTGGACCAACCTATGACCTTATATTATATACATCTCAAGAATTGTTTATATGGATGAGTTCTCTAACAAAATGTTGCCACTCTAATACGCAACTGGAATTAAATGGACATCTACTCAGCCGCCTTAATTTTTTAATTTTTCGAGAGAAAAGAACAGGCATCAAGAAAAGGGCATTCCTTCAGCACTTACACTAAAAATAATGCAAGTCCATTGCTATGACCTATGACCTATATATAGAAACGGGGCTAGTTGCAGCTTTAGGTCCAATCCCAATTAAAATCCAAACTTTTTTTGTCTAAAAAAAATCCCAATTTCCACTCTAGTCCCAAATCTACCCACGCCTCCAAAAATTGCCGCCAAATTTCTTCAAGATTATTAGAGTCAAGTTGCTGCTGTTATTTTGTATGAAGGTGATGGTATTGATGATAACGCAAATTCTAATAACAAACCTATAATTGACCCTGATGGTGATAATTTTGGAAAAATTAGTGACGATTTTTTAACGCGTGGGCAGACTTGAAGCTAGAGTAAAAGTTGAGGATTTTTTTCTCGACAGAAAAAGTTTGGAGCAGAATAAGGATTAGACCTAAATGTGAGGGTTTTTTGTCAAGGGAATTACGCCATAGAAAGAGGTGATTTTCTTTCCTTTTTTTTTTTTACCCTTTCTTTCTTTTTTATTTTATTCATTTATCCTTAAGTCCCCAAGTAAACGACAAATACTTGTTGGCCAGCCACGACCCACGAGAAAGTATTCTCGAAGTCGCTCATTGGGCCGATTTGTAGCCCAACAGCTAAGCTCGGCTTGTATCTTGACCTGCCACTTTAATTTAAATTTGATCACCTACAACTTCTCAAGATCGATGCGCCAATAAAGTAATTCATCATCAGTTTTGCAGGGATTCACTCCTCACCACCAATACAAGGTTGAACCATGTCCTAATCCTCACTTCTCTCTGTTTGTTTACTTCTTTCCAATTTCTAACATGATAGGACTCTGAGAAGGATGCCATTCCTCAAATACGTGAACCATTTGAAAGAACCCACTGCCATTGTTACTCAAATGGAATTTGAATACAAAGAATCAAGAATCTGACAGGCAGAGCATCATCTGCAACCATGATCGAAATAAATCAAATCAGACATTCAGGATCAATATGGTATTGCAGGTTAGAGTTACTACATGATTGGAAGATTAAGCAACACTCATGACAAATGCCAGGATGACTGCAAAAGGCACAACATTTCCTCTGCATTCATTCTCTTTGTACCTTTTTCTTTAATACATCATGTCAACACTTGGGAGATGAAAAACAAGATACAAGCTAATAGCCACTATAAACAAAACATTGATTCTGCATAAACAACGAAAAGAAGACCCACAAGACAAGTAACAAGTGAATATGAGATCGAAGCTCTTCAGAGAATAGCAAGGTAGCGCCCTAATCGGTCAAATGCTGGATGAATATAAATACACCCTCTATACAACTCTACAATTCAACCAATTTTTTTATCAGATCCTCTGAGATTGAGGTTGAACCATTTCTTTTTGGATGATTTATCTTTTCCCTCAACAGATCCATCTTCCACCGGACTTCCCATCTTCGAATCTTCACCTGGAACTCTGTTGCTGCTGCTGCTAGTACCATTACCAGCACTACCGCTGCTACCAAAGTCACCATTTGGGACCCGGGTTACAGTGAACGAAGAATGAATGCCGTCTCTTTGTTTTAGTAACTCATCTACCTAAAATATACCATAAATTAATTCAGTGAGGAGGCATGTCATTTCTCATGTCCAAAAAAGAGGGAAAGGAAAAGGAATGCGGCTGTAACCATCCATCAAAGACTTAAATAAATGGGTTAATATCATAGGAGGGCATCTGATTAAAGAAAAAATGTTAATTGGAGAAAATGACATTCGGATAAGGGGGTGACAAATAGCATGAAAAGTTCCAGCATCTTTAAAGTGAAAAGCACAAAAGCTCCCATATCCAAAATCTGAAAAGGACATACCTAGAATGCATGGTTGTATGTGTCAGTGCATAAAACTACATCTACCAAGGCAACATGCTTTGAATAAAAGATCCCTCAGAGGAGAGATGGCCTCAGATATTCATATTGAGCATCATAGAAATATCCCAGATTCTCAATGAGAAGACAAGCCAAGAAAAGAAAAGGACATACAGACTGCTTTTCCTGGCCGTATCTGTTCGTCACCTCTTGAAATCGTGCAAGGGCCTACAGGTATCAGAAAAAAATCATGAGAATTCGCATGAAGCAATAAGCATGGAAATAACATAGGAAAGAGGAGAACACCTTCCTATACTCTGTCTCAAATTGGCGTAGGTCAGTCCTTTTTCTCAATATCTGAGCCTCAATTTCCTTCAGCTTCTCCGTCGTCTCTTCATATGATCTTGCACAAAGAGCCTCTAACATGTAGCTTGCAGGCTTGAAAAAATTATCTCCTGAATCAATTTGAGAGTATTAATCCACCTAAATATGAAAGGGAAATCCTACTTCTATTGCCAGAACAGAATAAAGTTACTGTACCATAGACAGCAAATATGTGTGTTCCAGCTTTAAGTTCTGAAACCTCACAAGGTTGTAGACCTTCCAACCTTTTAAAGAATGCAGCTTCAGGATCCTTGGCCATCGCCAACTGCCCACCACTAACAATTAGAAATGGGACCCAGGGTGAAAAAAGTAAATGAGGGGAGGAATAATAGAAAGTAACGCACTGCATTCACGGTTGAATCCATTCGGTAAACTTGGAAATGCAGAAAGTACATTCCTGCAGATGTCACCTTGCCTGTTTTTTCGCTGTCTTCCTATATGAAGAACAAATAATCTCATAGAATGCCAAATAAATCAAAGCTCTAGAAGTAGAGCACTTTGCATGACACACACGGCAAAACATTATTAAAAAAGTCATAAATAGCTCCTGATAGACAAGTCGTCCAAGACTCTTACTTGACTAGAACAAATCACAATTTCAAGCAAATGGTAGCAGTAGCACTCGCCCAGAGATTATTCACTCTCCAGGTGCAATATTTTTTATTTAACTCACAGCCCTGGGCCATGGTCCTTTTACAACATCCATTGACTGCACTCTGTCCCAGCAACTCGTCGTTAAAGAAAACCCCAGCTCATCGTTTCATCCTTAAACATGGATGCTGCTTTCACGTCATTCATCCCAACAAATACCATATTATAGCTACAATAACAGTAACAACCTCACTACCTGAGTCCAAAATTAAAAGCAGGCTATTTTCTCAAGATTGCAAACATGATACCTACAAACTGAAAGGAAAACATGCAATTTGGATTTTTATGTTTTAGCACATGATTGGGGCAGCCCCCCAGCTAAAACACCAATAGCTGCCCTTCTCTTTCCAATAAAGCCATTTCCCCTTTTGACAAAACAGAGAGAAATGAAAAGGTATTAGACTAGTAACATACCTGTAAGGCCAAATTATAACCACCATTGGCCTCTTGTTCAAAGTAAAGCAACTGGATAAGCAAACAAAGAACAAAATGAATGAGTCCAGAAACAAAACCATCCAGAAAATTTTAAAAAATTAAGACCAACAATTGCTGTGAAAAGCTTACTTTGAATTTGCTTTGTGCTGTGGAAGTGACTCTTACTACAATACCAGCTTCTGCTTGTTGTTCATTAATTGTTACACCGAAAAAGTGAGCACATTGCTTATCCACCTGCATGATAATTCAAAATCAGAAGAATATGCTCTCACGAATGCCAATCAATCAGTCTATAAACAAAAACAAGCACCTTTCCACTGACTGATGTTCCAATTGGAAGGGGTCGTACTGTTACAGTTCCATTGATAGCTTCTTCAAGAACATTGGCAGAGATCGTAGTTTTGATTGGCACGCCTAGTTTGCTGTCGACAAGTACGATGAGAGATGCAAAAGAGCCAAATGAATCTTAAAAAAATCCATACTGTTGGAAAAAAGCACCTGAATAATGCTGCAAACATTGTATTGACAGTTCCCAGGTTAGACAAGTCGATTTCCATATCCAAGCCTTCAGCATCGAGAGCCTAATTTATTTCATGAATATGAAAACTTTAAATCCTATTGTTTGATCAATAAAATATAAGGTGACTACAGAGAAAAACCATGAAAGAACTAAATTCCAATAGAAAACAGAACACGGCAACTCTGCTGGGGGCACGGCAGCCTACTATTTCAAACTTAAGTTAACCAAAATATTGACCCATCTTTAAAAAAACCATGCATCACTAGTCCCCATAAGGTGTCTTCTTCACAAAAATAGAGCAGCATCCGTCTATGGATTTCATGCATGAGCTATAAATAAATGAACTAAACTAGCAGAAAATAAAGCATCAATATATACATTAAGTTCAATTCTTTTTAGACCCCTTATTTGCGTCCCTATATCTGTATTTCCACGCTTTAGTCCTATGCCAAAGTCCAGCCTATGCGTAAGATGAGCGTTAGAATATTTAGACATTAAGCCACGCATTTATTTAACAACTTAAGCTTTTAGAACAGTTGGCACTGATCCCACAAAAAATTTACAACTTCAATTGCCATTATTGACTTACTTGAGCTGCCACATCATATGCCATAAGATGAAACAATCCAACTTAGGATATAGCATGCATGATCAGGACCACTTTGAAGACACTGCTCAATCATTGGCAAAATTCTACAAAACTAATCAACACAACCTCTACAGGACTAGTACAACCACCCAAGTTCGCAATTTATCTTATGTCACCTCATAAAAAAGCAAAAGTCAGGAGATATTATTACTAGAAGCAAGCGCAATCAAATGTAGGCACTCTCGTGTACAATTCAAACTCCCCTTCCCTCCCTCTCCCCCCTCTCTCACCAAAAAAAAAAAAAAAAAATCTCTCCTTCTCCACTTGAAATGCCGAGGTACAATAAATTGGCATTGCCCACTTCACACAATGGCACTTCATAGGAATTCAAGTGCCAAAAGCAACGCTCAATCACATGATGCTAAGACATTTGCATGATCATTCATACATCTAGCGGACATGCACAAGCACATTTCCAAACAAGTGCACAGGGAAGAGCAAGCAAGATCAATTGAAGCACCTCGAACCCTGCACTATCGTATTGCCTCCTTTTCTCTGGGTCAGATAGTATGTTGTATGAATATGCAACCTCCTTAAAAAGTTCGGAAGCTTCGGGATTGTCAACATTCTTGTCAGGGTGATACCTGCCAGTTTAAAGAAATAATCATATTAAATTTTATACTTTTAAAGGTTAAGACTGAAGATCTCTCGAGGAGTCACATTGATATATCAAAATTATAGCACTAGACTAAACTTAAAAGAAGAATTCTGAGCACTATACAACGATTGTTGTCAAATGAAAGGCTCTACATCCGAACTACAATGATTGAGAAGCATACGTTTAACGTCATACTAGGGTGGCGATTTAGTTAAGGAATACCTCTTTCTCACATATGCCGTCAACTAACTGGCTTTTCTCTAGAACAAAAATGTTGGCATTTTCCATACATGATTCATCAGCAGATGAAAGCATCTAGAGCATAACAATTCAAGCCAAATAAAGGACAGGATCCAAGATCATCATTTTTCAACAGTTATATTTGTCCTAACAAACTTATCATTCGCACAGACACAATATGCAGTTCCAATTTAATAAAAAAAAAAAAAAAGAGGGAACATTTTGATGGAACGAAGAAGTCTTTTCATCAAAAGTGCATCATGCAGACATCGATCGAACAAATATCTACAGGTCCCAAAATCATCAACAGGCCCTCCAAGCACACCGAGACTCCGCCGCCTGGATCACTCGGAGGAGCTCCCGTGCCATCCTCTTCATCATAATCGATCCGCCCGCCCGAAATGCCGCGGGCACAAATTCGGGAAACCGGGAAAACCCCCAATTACTCGGGGCCTTTCAATTCGATCACCAAGACCCAGTTCGCAACTCACAAGATCAAAGCCACTTAAAAGAAGAAAGAGAAAAAAAAAACCTTACTTGAGAGCAAGCTTTCTATAGGCAGTCTTGATTTCTTGATCAGTCGAATCCTTGGACACGTTCAGCACCTCGTACGGGTCTCGCCTCATCGCCGGCGCCGATGGCCCTTCCACCTTCGGACCCATCTCTCTCTCCCCCCTCGAAATCGGCCCCAATCACCTGGATTTTTACTCCATTTCTTTTCAAATCTCCAGACCACCCAGATTCAAAAAACAATTCAACTTAAAGGAGGGCTCTTTTCCGCCAAAAGAAGAAGAAGAAGAATGCGGCACGGAATTCGAAGCACCGGATCGCTCCCCTCGGAGCTCGCGCAAAAAGAGTTTGAGGGTCCAGAAAGACGCGAGCGCTCCACCGAAATTGGCAAGAGATCAGAGGGGGAGGAAATCGGGCCCAATCAGCAGCGGTGGAGCTTTATTAGGGTTTCCGAACATCGGAGCTCTTCCGTCAGCTCGAGCTGATGAAAAGCCCCCCTCCCCCGCAAAATCTATGCTTTTTTTACTTTTTTTCGCCGCGAGAAGAACCGGGGCTCGCCTGCCATTTTAAGAAAACACGCACCGAGATCTCCCGTTAAAAGTCAAACATAAAGTTATTTTTATCCAGCATTACGATAATTTAAAAAAGAAAAATTGGGGTTAAAGAAAGAAGAAGAAGCAATTAGAGCTGCAACTGTTTGGGGCCTCGTGATCAAATTTAAAATTTGCTTGTGTCGTTTCATTTTTGAAAGAATTAAATGTACGTGATTGATAGATTTTCCCTTCGAGATCTGTTATGTTTTTCTAATTGGTATTCAAGGATTAGATATGTCGCGACCGAACTCCCGAGCTTTTTTTATTGACAACATGCGAAAAGGGGAGGGTTTCGCCTGGTACATGCTAAGTCTAGGTTCGGGACTTAACTCGGGCTCTCCCAAGCCCATACCATATCGCGACTTAGAGTTTAAATATTTAACATGCAAGTGGTTTATACTAAGGAGTCGCCACTAATCAATTTGAGGTGGGTCGATTAGAAACCCAAATAAGCTGATTGGAGAATCACCCTATTCCTGCGAACCAGAAATTAACTGAGTTCGGGGATTTGGTTACACTAGTTGGATAACTAATGCCCTTTCAGTACCATTTTACCCTGTTCATTTTTTGAAAACATTTGTCAGGCAATTTGGATTGGTTTTAGGACCTTTCTCCTAACATGTGAGATGATCAAGCGAGTGCGTAATCAGAAACGATCAGCAATCAGGAACACAACAATTCATGCAGCCTAAGGTTTTAACCTTAACTAAGTCAGATGACATTCAAAACACAACAGCTCATGCAATTGTATTAAAAACATGCATAATAATACAACGGTAATAACATGCAAAATACTACCACACAACCTCAGGCTTGTCTAATTTAAACAAGACAATAACATGCATAATAATACAACAATAAATTAAAACACTTAGATATATCACATAATTTTTATAAAAAAAATTTAAATTTTTTTTTTTGATTTGATTTTTTTTTTCAAAAATAATAATAATAATAATAATAATAATAAGGAAGAAGAAGAAAAAAAAATTTAATTTTTTTTAAATTTTTTTAATTAACTTTAAAAAAAAAATAATAATAAAATAATGAAAACGGGTCGGGTCGCGGATCCGGACCGGGTCGGAACTGACCCGGAGCGTTGACCCGGGTCAGGTCGGCTGAACCGGGTCAGGCTGAACCCGTGTGAGCGGACGTCGGCGGAGCCGAAAATCGGCCTCTCGCCGGCCGACCCAGACCGATGCCACCCCCAATTCAGCTTCTGGGAACTCCACCGAGTCTCGCCGGCCACCTGGGGTCGCCATCCGACCGCCGTTCGCCGGCCGGCAACCGGATTAAAAACCGGTTTCATTGAGGAATTTTGTCGAGCAAATGGTGTGCACGACCAAAAACAGAAGATTCTGACCTGTTCCGGCGAACCGGAGGATTCAGGCGACCCAACCTACCTTCGGTGAAGACACACGGACGGCGGGGGACGGCGGTATGGGCCAGGACTCGCGCGAAACGGCCGGCGCAGGTCCCGGCCAAACCGAGCAGAAAAACAGAGCACAACAGGGGCAGTTTGGACCGGGGGGAATCTCACCGTCGACGGCGCGTCTGGGGGGGGGTGTCCGGCTGATCGAAGGGCGACGGCGACGCTGCTGGGAACCTGTAGAAGCCAACTCTCCTCTCTTTCTCTCTCTATTTTCTCTCTTTTTTCTCTCGGTTTCTCTCGAACTCTCTCTGTTTCTCTCTATCTCTGTTCTTGCTTCAAATGGCCGACCGGGGCTCTCTCTCTCTCTCTAGCTATCTATAGCCGACGACGACGGTGTCCCCCTGCTCTGTTACGTCTACAATGACGACGACCTGCACCGGCCTACTCTGGCCCGCGACTTTCGCGGCCATTTAGGCCGATGTAGAGCAGGAGGAGTCGGTTCAGTGAGGGGCAGAGAGGAACAGGGAGAAGAGAGGACGGAGGGGATAAGGGAGGCTGGGAAAACGGGGAAAACGGGACTGGCAATTAATGCCAGTCTCGTCGGCGTGCCTCTTCGGCCCTGCTCTGGCCGGATAGAGACGGCACGGAGCTGCGCCGCTGTGCGTCACCTGCGGCCAGAAACAGGGGAGAACAGAGGCAGCGAGAGCGACAGGGCGGCGGGGAAGGAAGAAGGAGGAGAAGGGGCTGCGCCAGGCCAGGCCCAGCCGCGCAGAGGAAAAGAAAGAAAAAAAGAAAAAGCGGGCCGGGCCCGCAGGGGAGAAGAAAAAGAAAAGGGAAAGGGCCCGGGCCCGGGGGGGAAAAGAGAAAAAAAGGAAAAAAGAATGGGCTGGGCCCATGCGGGGGAAAAAAAGGAAAAGAAAAAAGGGCCGGGTTGGCCCGGCCCCGACCCGGCCGGACTCGTTCGTTTTTTTTTTTTAAACATTCTAATAGACCCTATTAATATAAAATGTACCTAATTTCTATATGCAATGCATTTTAAATTGAAATATTTTTTGTTTTAGGAATTAAAGGATATTAATTCCTAAATTTTGTGCAATTAATTTTGGGCAAATTAAAAATAGGTGTCAACAAGATACCAACATTGTGTCGTATTGTGCTTGAGAAAATAATACTGAATTTCTCGTTAAATGAGATTGGAAATTGTTTAGAAAAGTCGGTGTATCAATTTTTTGGCATGCGTTTTCACCGGTTCCAAATTAGATCAGCCACAATTCTATTATAAGAGAGATTGTTTCTTTTTCACTGAGCAAGTGATTTTCAAGATCTTTTTTTTATTTCAAACTTGCTAGCGGAAAAGTCGATTTTTTTACACATACTGTTTTTTGAATGACAAAATGGATATGATTTGTAAGTAAATGTTAGAGATATATTTTCCGCATTTAGTAAAATCAAAGCAATTATAATATGTTACACATGCTTGCTTTATAAGGTTGCGAATAACAACCATTCTGTTTCAGAAATTAATTTTTGGCCAGAAATTTCTATTTCTGTTCTTGGACGAGTTTTTGAGGAAAAAAACACGTTTGATAACAACGCAAAATTTCTATTCCCGAAACAAAATTTTGTTTGATAACAGCACAAAATTTCTCCCTTTTGAGTGACCGGTGAGTGGACGGTGGGCGGATGGTGGCAACGGACAGCGGGCGATGGACGATGGCAATGAACGGCAGGCAGCGGACGGTGGCTGGAGGTGGCCGGCGTCGGGCAGCAGTGGGAGGCGGGCGACGGCTAGCAGCGGGAGGGGGCCGGCGGCGGGAGGAGGGCCGACGGTGGCAGCAAATGGCGGGTGGGGGAGGAGGCGACGGCGGACGGCAACACGGCAAGTGCGGAGGAAGGCGGCTAGAGGCGGCCAGCGTCAGGCAGCGGCGAGAGAGGGGCAACAACCAACGGCAGGAGTGGGGCGGCGACAAGAGACGGCAAATGGCGAGAGGCAGCAGCCGGCAAGTGGGCGGCGATGGGCGGTGGGTGGGCGACCGGCTAGTAGCGAGGGCGAGCGATGAGAAGAATTTCTTATTTTTGTTCCAGAAATAAAAAAGTATAAAATTTTCACTTCTCATTTTTGTTCGAAACTTATTTCTGAAATCAAAATTTATTCCAAAAATTGAAAAATGAAATTACGTTACCAAACAAATTTTTATTCCAAACTTGTTTTTGAAATAGAAAAATAGAAACAGAATGATTATCATTCGCAGCCTAAGACTCAAGAAGGCTGAATAATAATCATTTCTACGACTATTTTGAAAATCAAATCATTCAAAGAATTTTTGTTGAATGGTCGATTACGTAACCGAACTTTTAACTTTAGTTTGGAAAATTGACAAAATCATTAACAATAGCAAGATTTAGCTAATTTTAATTTGAGGATGATTCCTAACCCCCTTTTTGATCCATTAGCAGGTAAGTTGATTTTAATAGTACGTTGTACATATTCCTCCCCAAATTAGCTGGATTAATTCTATTGATTATTGGTATGTAACTTATGGTTGGTAAGAGATTATTAAGTATAGTTTTTTTATTTTTTATTTCAGAGAAAAAAGGGGGCCACTTGGCATTGACCTGGTTAGAGGATGGGACCATGGGAGTGACCAGGACCTGGTTAGAATTGAAGTACAATTATTCAGTCAAATTAAAATACATTACACTTTGACTTCCTATTTCCACATTTGATGCCACTAAAATGAACTCTTGGTCTTCTCCATTTCATTTCTGGATTGATCACATGATAGTAAAAAATTTGGCATGTATTAAGGCCTACACAAAAGCAGGGGACCACAAAACCAGTTTCCACCTCAATGCTAAATGAATATGAAAGAGAGAAGGGACGGGGTGGATCCCATTTTGATGGCGAACGATGTACATTGATTGCCATGTGAGAATTGGTAGACGAGAAATGCTCGAGAGATTTCGATCTAATGTGATGTCGAGCAATGCGCGTGTGATGTATCGACCTTAATAACCCGGGTGTTGTAGGATCCGCAGAAACCACACTTATGGTGTAGCCAGTGGAACGGCGACGTCCCCTTTTTATGGCAATCGTTGCACAGTATATCCTACATCACCGAAAAGAGCAACTGAAAAACAAGCAGACAAGCTGCACCAGCACAAAAGATCCAAGGAAACAGAAGAGACATGTTTACCTGGGAGTGATCCCGGTATTCTTCTGGAAGCACTTCTGAGGCTAACAATGCATCAAGCATGCCAAAGTAAACCTAAAACCACAAAGAAAAACAGACTGAAACCGAATGAGAACCTGATCGTGTGTTCTAACCTTGCACAAAAGAGGTTCCATCCTTAACTTAGACTTACGATGCACGTGAGCACAAGTTTATATAAAAGTACAAACGTTTGATAGACAGATACATATAAGGTTTAATGTGATTTCTGTTTTCACCGAGAGCAACGCAAAAAAAAGAGGCCACCTATAGTGAAGAGATTCCAGCAAGCAAAGACTAGCTAACTGTATGAGATTCATGTGATGGAAAAGTAAGAGAACTGAACTTCCCAGAATGCTTGTGAATATTATGGTCCGCCCCCGGCCTAATCATACAGTTGATACTCTACTATTCTTCGGATTGAAACTTGAGGATCGAGCAATCAAATTCCTCCGACGCTCAACAAGTGGATAAGCATAGAATATTGGACACTCATTTTTCATATGGTGGCTTTTGTAAGAACAAAAAGGATTTTTATTAGTCAATTTAGGATTTTCTTTCCCCAAGCACAAGCCCAGTTTGCATCGACTGAGTGGCTTCCCACAACATTACTGAAAAACTTTGTCCAAGTCCTACAAGAAATAACCGAGAGGAACCACGATGGGACTTTTCTAAAACATCTTTGAAAAACTTTATCCAAGTCCTAAAAGAAATAACCGAGAGGAACCACGATGGGACTAATCTAAAACAACATTTTAAACATCTAAAAGAGGATATAATAACCGATGTTCATACCGCCATATCTCCCAAGGATTTACTGCAAATTGGGCAGACATAGTGGCTGCATGTGTATGCCTGACATTAGGAAGCATGATGTTCAGTATCTTCAGAAGCTACACTCAGACACCCAAATTAGACCTGAGCAGAACCAAAGATGAGAGATACCTGGAAGCAAGCTGAATGCATGAAATGGCCACAGGGAAGTCCTTTCACAGTTGCACTCGATGTGAATAAAAAATCACAGCAGATTGGGCAATTTGTCTCCAAACCTTTTTCTCGGCACTTATGGTCAACCAACTTCATCCCCAAACAACAGTTGCAAGTCATGCAATGAAAAACATCGACCCCAAGACCCTTCCCAAGACGGCATAAATTACAAAAAGGGCAGTGGTAAATATTCCTGAAGGGAAAAAAGAAATAAGATTATTCTGGAGTGTGAATATATTTGGGGCCTTGTGCGAAAGTTGATCTCAGAGACTATGAGAATTAATAGAAATGATGTTCCAGTAAAAACTCGGTAACCAAAACTCTTTGCTAGGTAAGTGACTTAGCTTAGACGTTTCGGACATACATGAGGCATCGGACTAAAACTTTTGATAAGAATAATAACAATAATAGCAATGGACCCTCGCAACATTATGCAAGCAAGATTCAAGATTGCCACAACATATACCAACATATTTACAGAATGTGTGCTTTGCAGAAACTCTTATCTCCATTTTGCAGTTCCCACCCAACTTGAAGGATAAAGATTGATAAAAAAGGTGAAGGAAAAGATAATAGACCAACAAGGGAAAAAGATGCCGTAGTTCATCTTTTTCTTGCCATAATCCACTCGCATATGACTCTTCACATTTAACGTAGTTTTGGACAAGCAATTGAGACACAAATGCACGTGTGGAAAGAGAGATAATTCGATTGTACAGAACTTCATCAAGAATGCAACTTCTTTAACATCATTGACCTATAAAAGAAATAACTGAGAAAAAAAAACTCAGAGAAATGATTAATTATATCATAGAAAGTGTCTGTACCTTTCATCATCAAAAAATTTACATATGCTACAGTAGTATTTTGCCATTGAGAGACCATCGCATGAAGGTGTTGCACAAATTTGTCCAATTGGCTGAATCCTAAGGCAATGCATGCACATCATTTCAGCAGTGGCTTTCCTGCACTTCGATTCAACACAGGTTTAAGAGCGAGACCATGAGAAGTATGTGAGCACTCAAGTGTGCAATATGGAACGTCCTAGGATGGTACACTGAAGTCACCTGTCCATGGCATGGTCACTGACATTATCATGGCAGAATCTGCATGCATACAACTTGCCACAGCAGGCAGCACGAAGCTTGCAGTTTCTCTTGTAATGCTCACAACCAAACACCTGTTTCTCTGAATCTCGAAATGATGGACAACGTCCCTGAAGTTCATCACTTGTAGAATTTTCAGCAACAGCTTCAGGTGGTTTTTGTTGAGCGGCTATCCAGCGACTGCACAGCTAGTCATGTCAGAAAAAGGGGAAGCTAATGAATAGATGAAGCCCACACATTGGCATTGAAAACAAACCTGGTCATCAGATGTTGAATAAGATATGCCTTTCTTCTTGGGTCAAGAGTTGAATCCCTAGAAACTTTTCTTATCTCTGATTCAAGTTCACTTTGATTCATTCGGAAGATATCCTTCCATCCAGGCTTGAATGTTTCACTACGATCCAAGCTTCCACAAAAATCAGCACCTAGGAAGTGTGGATACAATACAATTTGGAATTATGAATATCTAAGTTCCAATTTGGTGATATAGCAGAAGAATGTTAACTGCAGGAACTCAAAGCTGGTGCATAAGCAAGAAGCACATTCACAAGAGAAAATAGTAAAAGCTCATGATATACCAAGAGACGAGCTACTCTCCGATGAAGCTGTATGCACAGTTGTAACAGCAACTCCCTCCCACCATTCATTAAGCCATTCACTGAACATGGTGTTTTTAGTTGCCTGCTTCCACGTGTCCATCATATAGTTTTGCTCCGCCTGGGTGAGAGCAGAAGTCACCCATGGCAACATAGACTGGAGAACCTCTGCACCCATAGTACCAATTATCCTACCAACTAGTTTTTCTTGTTCCTCAACTGAGAAATATATATTAAATAATGGCCATAGCTCAAGTTCTTCTCGAAAAAGATGTTGATCCAAAGTAACCTTGATGGATCTGCACATGCCTTGAAGTTTGGTGGCCAGCTCAGTGTACTTACTCATGGTCTCGTGGTGATAAATAGACAGAGAGTTTCTTCCATCTGAATTATCTGACAAAAGTTCACTGTTCAAGCATTCATGACATTGTGTGAGCTCTGAAAGTGTAGCCAAAATATCTTCGAAAAGTTTCTCTTCCTGCTTATGGTCTAAAGTGTAGGAGTGACTCACATTGTGAAGAGTCTCTTTGGATTCTATAGCTGGAAATACTATCTCATCCTCTGCATTACTATGGGCTTTATATAAGCCCCGCAATAATTGGAATCTACCAGTAAACTCCCTTAGGAAAGTGCCATCACAGGTCTTAAGTTTTTCAGATTCAACATCCAGATATTCTAAGTCCTTGCGAATGGCTTTATGAAATTTAAATATATTGTCCATGGGACGATTAGCCTTTCCAACTTCGGCAGAGCATATATCCGTTTCCCAGTTAAAAAGACTGGACTTGAGGGGCGGAGCACATTTGTCAAAAGATGAGGACCACAGAGCTTTTGTTGATTTTGCAGCAGCAAGATAACCAACTCTGAGCTTATTAGAATTCACTCCTAACTCAGGTACACAAGTTTGATCATCACCAGACAACGTATGGCTATAATGAAGTCCTCTAATTTGATGAGCATCACTGTCTCTGTGACAAAGTCTGTTGCCTCGCTTGATTAGCCTTTCACAAGTATGTGCCTCATCTTCACAACCAAGTGAAGTTAACACATCAGCATATGACAATGAAATGCACCTATAAAATAGACCATCTCTCTCCATGCTGCTCCCTGTCAATCTTTTGGCAGGACATCCAGTTGCACTAGAAGACGACCACTTTTTGGAATGGCCTTTCCATGCCCAACCAGAAAAAAGTGTAACCAGCGCAGAATCCGAGAATGGAGCTGCAGCCACAAACTCTGCAAGTTACAAATAGGCTAGACACAACAAAAAGAAAGCTTGAAGAGCAAAGTTAGCTTTTACTTTCCACAACAGTCAAGGTCAAGGGTGTACCTGCCATATGCATATTCTGAAGAAATGACTGTGCTTCTTCTTCGCTCAGGGATCCAATCAGCCACGGTAAGACTGACTCAATTAATCTCAATGGCATCACGCATAAGCTCTGGTACAGAAGTTCTTGCTGCTGCTTGGGGCTGAAATGCTTTCTGGCTAAAGGTAGTACCTGGGAAAGTGATATTTAGAACCCTATCTGGGAAAACAAATGACCATTGACATATACAAGCTATACTGTCTTCGATAAATTGAGCTGAGAGAAAATGTCCTGTCTATGGGAAATTTTAGGTCATCTAAAAAATAGCATGCACACCTGAAGTTCCTCATTCTGGAAGTGCTTCTTGATGGAGTCTATCATCTGATCGGCGTGTAAGCACAACTCTGTATTAAATTCAGCAGAAGATGAGTTGGCTCCATCAGTCTGAATACTTTCAATCAAACACCTAAGCCGATCAAATTGTATCTCTTCTTCAGCATGCTCCTCAGCAAAAGAGAGTTCTAAATCTACAGCAGGGAAGATAACTTTGTCCTCAGCCATGCTGCATTTAAAAAGGAAAGCTTAGAACCTGCAAGTGACAATACAGCCAAAAGAATATTCAAGGTGAAAGGAAATTCTAACAGCTGAATTTTAAGAACATTGATCTGTGAGAAAACCAGTAAAGCAAGTCAGCAAGAGAAAGTAAGCTAGGCACAGCAAGAGACTGATGCAGAAGATCAAAAACAAAATGTACACCTTTCTCTCAGAAACAAACATTGTCTGTCGCTATAATTACTCCTAGGGATCCTTAATGATATGTGCAAAATTAAGGATTAAGTAGGTCTCTCAGGAAAAAAAAAATTATCTCTCGACTCCACAAAGCAGCTGCTCAAGCATCCAAGTTTTCTCTGGGAAAAAACCTCCACGGCAATAACAGAGCACCAGTTACAAAGAAATACCGCTTACGAATTTCTTTTCCATCCTGAAATATAGGCCATGAGATATTTTAATTGATTAAAGCTTTGACCAAGTACAAAAAACCCTGGCAACCAAATCCAGTCTCCTAAAATATGTTTTCTGAGATGAGATTCAACAATTATTGAGACCCCATAGCACCCCATCAAGGACGATAAGCATACTAATATAAGATAAAGACCACCATACCTATGAAATATACAAACTTCGGCAATAAAACGCAGCTTCTTGTTAAATGCAGAAAAGTCAGAAAAACCTCCAGAAAATTGTAGTCTTTTGGCTGCCTCAGCTATATCATTCAACTCTCTTCTTATTGCATTATGCCAGAACAAGATTTCATCTATAGGATGAATCATAACAGAATCATCAGGGTCAAGTTTTGCCTCTCCAAATTTCCTTTTACCGCTCTTTGAAGATTTAACTGCGCAGTCATCGTTCTCAGCCGGATTGCTCAACATCTTAGATTCAGAGACTTGCAATGATGGGACATAGTTACAATTGTTCCCATTACTCTTACTAGAATCATGCATTTTCACCCCTTCAATCCAGGAAAAGATAACCTTCATTGAAAAAATTTAATGTCAGCCAATATTCTTTTTTCTAGAAATTATGAAGAGCATGGCACCCCCCCCCCCCCCCCGGTCAGGTAATTTTCACCTGTTGAAGAAGCTTTTCTTCAGGGATTATCTTACGCAAGCATTCAAGCATATCCTCATATTCCTCAGGTGATACGGAAGAGAAGAACCAGGGAAGAAACTCGGCCATCATGTTAACAGGGATGCTGCACAGAAATTGCCATACTAACGATGCCTGTTCGTCAAACGAAAACTTCTCAATAAGCAAAGGGAAGACCTGCAACAGCCAAAGCAAGTCAGAGATACTAGTATTGTAGTTCCAATAAAAAGTAAATTTTAAAACAAGCTGAAGAAGAGCCGCGGAGACAATGAAAATGCATTAAAGAGCATTTTCATCAAATAGCAACCTCAAATTGGCATGAACTTATCATTTCTTAACAGTTCATAAACCAAGCTTGTTGCAAGACAATGATTATAAGCAAAACTTCTCATGAGAACTATTTGAAATTAAAAAGCATTTAAAGATGGTTTTCCAGAAAAAATCTTAAATTGCCCAAAAAACTCAAACATCTCCATAATAGTTATCCACTCTATAACATAAAGAGAATGCCGAGTAAATCCCCTTTCAGAAAAAGAGATCGCTTAACAAATCCTTCGACCTTTCCCAACGCCCTTTCCAAACAGAAAATTGATCAGCCAAAAGAAAAACACGAATCCTTATGTACTAATTATCTAATCTTTAAAATAAAAGAGAGTTTATAAAACAAATTACATTAGTATTACTTCTTTTGCGGAATGGGATAAGGCTCAAGGAAGCAGACACGACAACCAAGGAGGGAGTACTCATTAGGATCACAGTAAAACTACATTCTTCTCCCCTCTCCTTTACATCACAGACTGAACCTAAAAAAGTTAGTCATGCCGAGAGAAAGTAGTTCCCAAAACCCTATAGATCAATGCCAAAAAAATTAGTCTTCCTAAAAATTGCATGGGAAACAATCAACAAAAAGCTTGCAGTACACATTAAAAAATAAGATTAAAGAATAAAAGGAAAAAAGAAAACAGAAAGATGTCAAATAGGTAAAGAGCACAAATGAATAATCTGAGAAACAATACATTATATGGCCACTCTAAAAAGGCGATGCATCAAGGACAGAGAGACCTGTTCCTCCTCCTTGGACAAGTGCTGACTAATTGATGTTTGAAGAGCTCCCACGCATGAGGCCAATTCCCCCCTGTAGTGTTCTTCATTTTGAATTTGTGAGTTCAACAACTCAAACAACTGATCGAATAAAAAACCCTCTCCTTCGTGTTCTAGGGAGTAAGTCCTGGCCACATTCTTCACATGTATATCCAGAGCAGGAAATATGACCTACACTTAAACTGGAAACATCACCAATGCGTGCTGTAACTTCAGAAGCAATATCTCAAGCCATTATCTCATATAGAGCAGCAAAGAAAGGCAAATGGAAAGAGGAAAGACCACAAACCAAGCAGATCATTCATAATAAAAAAATCAATATTAGAAGCAAGAGAATATGAGTGGAGCCTCTATGCCTCCACAGAGATCCCAGTCTCAACTAAGTGTCCTTACACATAGCAAAAGAACCTTCATGGCACTATTAAAGTTGCATGAGAAGCCTTGCCATTTCAGAATCCAGTCTTTTGTCAAGTCTAACATGGCCTAAGGACTTTACGCTTGCTGACCTTCCTTTCAAATCTTTTTGCACCATTCACTTGGAACAAGGTGATGCATAAACAAATTAAGGACAGTTAACTACATGTACGGCACAGAAGTCCTGTGCTGAGTAAGTAGAATATAATGTCAGTACTTTTATACACCAGGTCCATAAGGACAGGGTCAAAGGATCTTATCAAGTTGACATCAGTCACAATTATGACTTGGAGGGTATCAGCTCAGGGAGACTATTCCACTCTGAACTTATCCCCTAGTCTCACGGGGAGAGAGAGAGAGAGAGAAAGGAGGGGGGGGGGGGGGGGTGAGGGAGGGAGAGAGAACTTCAGATTGGCATACTTCCTTTATAAGGTAACATAAATACCAACACAAGTACTTCTAAGAAGCTGCTATCTTTTCTCTAGTTTCTTTCTATATCCAGTATTGTATGGACTGAGTAAATATGTTTGTATTGTTAGCTGAAACTATGAAATTTTCTCTAGACATGACTTAATTCCTTTCTCCTTTGACAAGATATTTTTCAATCACCTATGGTGTTTCTGCGCATTTTAGCATTTCCATATTATATACTCCAGCTTCCTTGTGCTTTCACTTATCTGAAAATAATCTGTAACCTTATTTTGATAATCATTTCAGATCATGCTCCTTTCAAATCTCAGCCCTGTGAAAAGGGTACAACTACAACTATGAGCTACGAAAGAAAATTAAACTTCATGGAGTTAAAACATGTAAAATGTATGTCACTCACACAAGAGGTGGTCAACTCAATTGCAGAATGTTTCTCACTATAAGAAATTTCGTCAAAAGCGAAATCTGTATTGCCCAGGAGGAAACCTGAATCTAAATAAGAAAACAAGAACCAAGTACTCAATGTCCAAGCAAATGAGCATTTGAAGATGAGGTGGTGAGTGGTAGAGTAAATATCTCCTGGCTTTGTACATGTATCCAATTTTTAAAAAATTCACTCGTATATATACCTTGAAATTGGTGTTCTAGAATAGTTGCGAAACTTGATGCAGTTCGACAATGATTGTCTTAGTTAGGGATAGGGGCCACCAAAAGTGATTTGTGCATTCGATGCTTCCACTTGCTATCTAAAACATCGCATCCCCTCCATCCTCTGCCAAGGGATTGCAAATAATTCCACAAGAATTCAATCTTAGACTTGTTCACAAAGAAAAAAAAATGCAAAGGCAGTTTTCAACATTTCTGAGAGCTATTTCTATGATATCCCTGCTGCTGGTATTGTGAATCTGTCGTAAGCTGACTCTCCAGGACATTCCTTTCCTCGATTTCTAAACCTGAGCTAGTGCTTTTCTTTTTCACTCGTTGCCTTTGTAACCAAAAGGCGAAAGGAAAAGCTTAAAGCTTCCTCAGGGTAGGTAACTTGGTGAACAAAATAGTCAGTAGGAGAAGGCAAACTCGATTCGAGCGCCACAGCATACGAATGGAGGAAAGTTTTACACAGTACATAGTCTAAGCATAATAAGATGTCCCGATCTAAACCATCGACATTCAGCCACAAGCCCTGCGCTACGACAAGCGGAACAGTTTATTTGCTGAGCAACGGAGCCATAGAACCACAAGTGCGCAAATCTCTAGTGAGCAAGCTGGCATTCGCAGAACTCGGAACTACTCCGATTCGACAACTACCGTCTAAACCGATCCAATTAACACGAACACCACAAAATGACTAAAGAAAGACAGGCTCAAACCCCGCGGACTAAGTCTCGCGATGGAAACAGCCAGAAGGAGTAAAAAAACGACGGCAATGCAGGTGCAGCTACCTCGTCCTCGGCATCGCAATGGTGCCTGTACAACGCGCGAAGGAAACGGCACCTCTCCGACAGAGGACCGACGCCGGTGCCGCCGCCGCCGCCGCCGGCGGTGGCGATGGCGATGGCCGTGGCGGCCCGGTGGAGGCGATCGAGCTCGGACCTGATGGCTCTGTGGAAGAAGAGGAAGATCAAGATCGGAGACTCGAGGACCGACTTCATGGAAGGAGCGGGTTGGGCGGGGTCGGCAGGCCCGGCCACCGTGGCCGTGGCGGCGCCGCCGCCGCCGCCGGCGGGCTGAATCCCGGCCAAAGGAGTCGCCATTCCTCACATGCGCGAGCTGGAGTCCGACCTCTGGCGTGGATGGAGATGGAGATGGAGATGGTGGAGAGATGGATGGATGGCTATCTAGTGGTAGTGGGAGGAGACATTTTCAAGCTCACTGTGTGTGCGCTTCTGCGTCTCCTACTAGTTTCGGTCTGCCGCTTTCCCTCTCTAACTTCCATTTCTGTGGCTTTCCCTCTCTCTCTCTCTCTCTCTCTCTGTGCGAGAAAAACCGAAGGTCGAAACGACGGGAAGTTGCAGAATATAAAAGAACGGGATGGCCCCACGTTTTCTTGGTTGTCGAACGTGGCGGTGACGCGGTTAGGCCGTTGCGGGACGTTTTTGTCGTGATCCTTTGCACAAAGAATGATGAAATAGAGGGAAAACGAAGTGAATGGTCCCTCAATTTTGACATTGCTTAATTTTTAATTTCTTCAATACGATTTTTAAACTATTTATACATATTCAATTTAGTCCATAAATCGTATATTCTTTCAGTAATCCAAGTTCAAGAATAATATTAAATATTTTCATATAATCCAAGAGTTAAATTGAACATGTACCGAAAATTAAGAAATCATACTGAACAAATTAAAAATTCGGGGACTACATTACACATTGGGATAAAGTTCGCGGACCATATTGAAAAAATTCAAAGTTGAACGACCTTATTACATATTAAATAAAAATTCATAAATTATTTGAGTCATTTCCCCCTAAAATAAATGGAGTTGTCCGTTTCAAGATCAGTACGATGAAAGCTTATTAATTCCATTGACCAAGATTTGTATATTTATATATATTTTGAAAAAATAAATAATGCCCCATATGGAAAAAAAAATGCTCATTCGAAATAATAAGAAACGCCATGAAGGTTAACAAAGAATAAGCAACTTGCAAGATCCTAGGGTGGCGAGCAGAGCAGAATTAACTGTATTAAAAAAACCAATCATGAAGGTTTTTCTTTAGGGTTAATATCACGAAAAATCCCAAATTGGTAAATCTGTAACAATTTTACCCCAAACTAATTTTTTGACAATGAAAAACCCCAAACTGATATACCTGTGACAAATTTACCCTAAACTAATTTTTTGACCACAAAAAACTCCGAACTGATACATTTGTGACAAATTTACCCTCCGTTAGTTTCCATTAAATTGAATTAATACCATAAAAAATCATAAACTGACATACATGTAACAAACGGAGGGTAAAACATAAAATTAATACATCTGTCAATTGCTGTGTGTCATTTAACAAAGCAATTGGACAGTAAAATTTAACGGAAATAAACTGAAGGTAAATTTATCACAGATGTACCAGTTTGGGGTTTTTGGTGGTCAAAAAATTAATTTGGGGTAAAATTATCACGACGTACCAGTTTTGGGTTTTTCGCGGTATTAACCCTTTTCTTTATAGCCAACCAAGTTTAGTCTTTGACCACACATTCTGATCATTAATGAATCCCAATGGCTACTTTCTTTCCCTCGTAGTCACGAGGACGGCTCTTGATGATGGGGGGATTTGCATTCTCTGTATAGAACTAGAGAAGTTCCAATTTTTATGGCTTGTATTGGTTACATTCCAACAAGTTCTAATGCTTCTGTTACAGTCTCGATGGTATAAAATTAAGGATCTGCACACCCAAGTCATCACAAAAAGGTGAATTGGATTAGGATTTTCTGAAGTTTGCATCCAAATTCTGATTGGTTTCAACAAAGCGAAATGGATTTATATTCTCAATATTCCCCTCCCTCACACGTAAGTCGGACGTCGACATGATCAAATTTATAGACATCGATCATCAAGCCAAGCGGATGAGAAGATGATCCGGACCACAAACCTACCAGCCAAGCGGATGAGAAGGAAGACCAGATTAAACAATTTGCGCGAGTGTGTCATGCTCGGGTTTGGCACGCACTCGAGAATAAAAAATCATAGTTATCTTTGTCCAAACAATCGTGGTTGCTCCACCATCTATGCAAGTTGCCACTAATCTTGTGGATTAGCTACAAAGTAAATCCACCTTCCCGTTTCCCTCTTACTTTCTATGGCATCTTCCCCCGCTAATGCATCCATCCATTGGAAAGATAATATAGTCAAGTCTTTCTTTTGCACCCTTTTTACAATAGACGAGAACGAGGAAAATCATTATTACACCCACTTCATAGCGAGAGGAACGTTAACGAGGTATTTCATGGGATCTTGAGTTAACCTACCGAAGGTCGACCCTTTTATCATTATAGAAGAAAATAAGATACGAAACCACCAATAGAGCTATCACATGAAATTAATTAAGTAGAGACTTTAGGCCTATTATTGAAATCGACCCAATGAAATTACGGACTGTGAAGATAATGAACTTACCTGAAAATATTTATACATCTCATTCAAGTTTATTTGTTTATCGGTGGTGCCCTTTGCATTTCGGTTGCTTTGACTAATTGTAAGGTGGAAAGTTGGGAAAAGGAATTGATGTTCTACTTAGAAAAAGTTCGAGACCACTAACCACTATCCAGCTCGGATCATTGATTAATATTGGAGGCCACCAATGGTGTGCACACTTCAAACATAGAAAAATCCCACGAGCCATGATTTTATGATAATCATGAAGTAGTGGGAGAGGCTTCTGAGCATTCTCTTGTCCAATTAAACAATACAAAACTAGTAATCACCATCATTAAAGACTGTTTCTTTATCTAGGGGCTGCGTGAAGAGGGAATCTATTGTCCTCTTTCGGTAGGCTCATCCTTTTCCCTTTCTGCAATGTATTCTTGATTGGGATGGCAATAGAAATCTGAACTGTCTTTTGGCGTAAAGAAAGGAAGGAAGAAGAAGATCCAGCTGAGAACCAGAAGCGAAGAGAAATACCAACAAAACTAGATGGTTCCAATTCTAATTAACGATGAATAGGAGGAGCTTGAAGTCTGGACAAAAGATATGCCAAAAGATGAAGTGGCGGTGGTGGATGAGTCTGATGGCAATACCAAGAAGAAAGTGGGAGTCAATGAAGGAGAGAGCATGATTTTGTCTATGACTGAAAACAGATGCTTAGTTACTGATGCTGATGCTGAGCATGCAGGTGACAAGATAATGTTGGAGTGGAGTTGAGTCATGTGCCTCTTCTTGGGTTCTCTTGGGGCGATTGAAATGGACTGTTACTTTCTGGATTTTGATAGTTAAGAATATATTCCTGTGGCCAAGAAATACTTCTAAAGGAGTCGTTGCATTTATGGTAGCTGACACTGACATTACATCAGGAAGTAAGAATACAGCTTGAGGAAGTCTTTCACCGACAACAGAAACGAGTAAATCAAATAAAGAAGATGATGGTTCGATATCCCAATTCAAGCACATCTTCTTGTTGTAAAGAGCAGCAACCCTATGGGGCACACCTATTAACTCCGAGTCGAGCAAAACTAAGATCTAACAAAGCGGAAAGAAGAGGCCTCTCACTGAATATCTTCGGTAAATATTTGTAGTCCTCCAATCACGTCCGCTAGCTGGGTTAAGGCCATCTTCGTACACTGCTTTTGAGTCCATGTCACCACGTATTTTCTCCAACCCTTCATCTTTTGCAAGCAAAACACCACCCCATACACTGCTGAAGCCTCATCCTCATCTGCGCCAGAGTGGGCTTCACTCTCGGACCAGGCCCACCAAGTCTCTCTTCATTCTCTCTTGCAATTACTCCCAACTGCAGCTTCATGAGATTCTTGACAGAAAGAGCCATCATAATTGATTAATCAAATAATGAAATGACAAGTTCCTTAAGGCCGACAGGTCCTACCCTGCTCGGGCACAAGAATAGAATGGCTTGATCAAGCTCATCTAAAAGGGGTTCCACTGGCCCATGCCCCATGGGCACAAAATTATTTCCGTTTGCCTCGTTGACGAGTGGGCCGATCAACTCATCGGGCTGCTAGGTTTATTCATGACGAGGTCTAGTGTTAACAGCCAGGAGGATCTATGCAAGAAAAAGAAGGGGAGAAGTTCTGAGTGTAAAAAACTTGTTTACTTTGTTGGTTATGAAGTGTATGATAACGGTGGGCGAGTATTTAACTATATTGAAAATATGTCTCGAGTTTGAGTATGAAGAAAAAACTTTTCTAATTCAAGTAAGTTTCTTAATTTGAATATTCCTAATTGGAATAGGTTTGAAAAAGAGGTTTCTTATTTTCGATTTTGTTTTTGTCTATATATGAGAAGTGTGACTTCTTATGAAGAGTATTGAAGAGGAGCTTGTGCTCATGAATTATATCCCTAGTGTTTGAAGTTGTGAAAGTTTTGTGTTAAGATTTTGTATAATTCCTTTATGAGATTGAGAATTTTGTGAGGAATTTTTTAGGGCTAACACTGTGTGAGTTATTGTGTAATTGGGAGTCGAAAAATATTTAGAGTGTTCGAGTGACTCGAGCGCGATTGTATCTCTATTATAAGCTTTGATCTATAATGGAATTCTTTATTGCTCTCTTCGTGGACGTAAGTCACCCCAATCGAACTACGTAAATCGGGTGTTCGATCTATTCCTTTATTCTGTCTATTTGACTATCCGATCGCTTGTTTCCAAACAATTCATATCAGAGCCAAACTTGGCTAAGTCGATGGCAGCAGAAGAAGGAAAAATGAAAAGGAGACTAATAAAACGATCAAGCAGGTGTGAATAGTAGCATGGAGTTTTGCTTGCAGTTGTTAAATGAATTCTGCATAAAAGAATGCACATTGAAACACCTCACTAATGGCGATGAACCACAACAGGTTATAGAGTTTATGAGCAGTACATTATTGAGACAGCCCATAAAATGTTCTCTAGTGTTGGTATGATTAGGAAATTCTTGGTGGATCCGCTTAGTACAAGGAGCTACCTAGTAAATAGATCCTTATTGACTACGATTGGATGTCAAACTCCCAAAGAAGTGTGATAATGTTACATTACTGATTATTTTGTTATTAAAATACTTTCTTGTCCGAGTTATGTTCAAGTGAGTGATGGTAAGCTCGATGGAAGGACAAGAAAGTACACGTTCCAAGGCTATGCACAATGTGAGTGAGGCAATTAGTTGTGGTGCCCTAATTAAATTCACCTATTATCAATAGAAAAGTTACATATGATGAGTCTCCAGTACTTTTGGATATGAGTGATTTTGGCAATGCTTAGACGATCTAGACAGTGTTCAGCTCAAGGCGGAGTTGCAATCAGAAACTCAAGAGGTAGCGAGTAGTAGCATGATAATCGACACAAATGGTGTGTG